TAATTCTTTTGGGAGTGACGAAGACGAAGGAAAGGGAAAGGGGAGAAAGGAGCAGGGAAAGGGAAGAAAGGAGGACGAAGACGACGATGGAGCAGGAAAAGGGTTTGAGCCAGATGACCTTCCCCACAACAAGAAACGTAGGGCTAGGGAAGAACTGCCCAGAGATTCTTCTTGTCGAAATGAGGATCAGAATGATGGTAGCGAAAACAAGGAGGACACTGGTGAAAGTACTCCTAAACGAACTCGAGTACTAGGTAATAGCCTTGGTAGACGCGTGCATTTTTCGTCTGTTGCTGCTGTTTCTGTTTTTAATCCGAAGGATAGTTTAGCCTCCCCCATGCTGCCCCCTCACGGGGTCCCAGTTCATGGTAGATAGAAGTGTTTTGTGTTTTCAACCGCACTAAGACTGACGTCTTTTCATTGGTCAGCCGGTTAGCGCGGTCGATGCTAATAATAAAAGCACAATCAAACTTGTGCGAAAAAAAGTACTTCTTTTCGAGACAGCAACAAGTACTTTTTTTTTTTTTGCGGGACACAGTGCATGGGTCCCACGTGTGTCAGGAATTTTGACACGAGCACGAAATTTTGACACGAGACCAAAATTTTGACACGAGACGTCAGAATTTTGACACGAGAGGTTACGCCGCACTTTTTCATGTCAGAATCACAGGTCAGAATACATGCATGGGTCCCACGTGTGTCAGGAATTTTGACACGAGCACGAAATTTTGACACGAGACCAAAATTTTGACACGAGACGTCAGAATTTTGACACGAGAGGTTACGCCGCACTTTTTCATGTCAGAATCACAGGTCAGAATACATGCATGGGTCCCACGTGTGTCAGGAATTTTGACACGAGCACGAAATTTTGACACGAGACCAGAATTTTGACACGAGACGTACTTGAGGCTGCGCCGCTGCTGGCCTTCGCCAGGCAACGTGCGGCGGAATATTTTTTCGTGTCAATTTGCCAACTGTCACTTTTTTTGTGTCAATCTATCTCAGTCCAAAATTTTCGTGTCAATTTAACGTGGGAACCCAGGAGTCTTTAGTAGATTGTATTTCGTTCGATTTCCCGGCTCAGGTTACCCCGAGACGAACGGTCATCTCGTTGGGCGTCTCACACGCCACGGTAAGTACTGACCTTCACGCACTTTGGATCGCCGAGCTTCTTCAGCGAACAGGGAAAAAAGACAAACTTGAGGGTTCTTAGTTCCGCCGCATATTGTGGGAATTCATCCCATTGTATGAATGACTCTTCGACATTTTGTCTGCGCCTCATGAAAAGGGATGCATTCGAAAGCTGTAGTTCGTATCCTTCTTGTGGCATACAGTTTGTTGAGTTGATCCTCTGGACCCATGAATTATATGTTGCGTGTCGGACTCCGGCGATAAATTCCACTTTTTCTACCGCGCAGTAGTAGACTAGTCTAGTTAGACACCTCTGTCTCAAAAATATCACATGCACGGTAAACGCATTTTTTTGGGCTTCAAAGCACACAAATTGTACCTAAGTTAGTCCTGGACGTTGGTGAATACGTGGTCTGACGTACTCATATCTTTATACCTGCCTGGGCGATGGGCGAGGAGAGTGCGGCGTGCATCGATGTACAGCAGTGGTGTAATGTATGCATTGGTTTGAAACGTAACCTATTTCACCGCCAACCCAAAACAAGGGGAGAGAACCGAAGAGGTCTGCTTGCGAGGGTAGTTGAAGGTGATAACGATGGAGCTCGACCGGGACAATCGTAGATTGGAAATGGGTCCCGAATGGGGGACTCTCTTGGCGAAACGAATGATGTCGACCGAAAGAAGACCTCCGAAAGAACGAGAAGCGGAGAAAGTACGGTGAGCCGTTGGATGCTACCAAGCCAAGTAGTGGAGGCACGAGCGTGTTGGTACACCACTGTCCCAGTTCGAGAACCGTTCATAGTAGATTGCTGCTGTCTCCCTCCGAATCCCATGAAACTTTCATCTGCGTTTGGGGTCAGGAGGTAGCGAAGATAAGAGTTTCAGCAGCCCATCTGCTGCAGTTTGCCCCGACAGGGCATGCGTGAAAGAAAAAAAAACTACAGCAGTAGACTAGACTACATGTAGTCTGAAGTCTACGGATAGAGGCAGAATTTGTACTGGGCCTGCAAGAACATAAACACGTCCGAGTGTGGAGATAAGGATATGGAGATTTAGGAAGCACAGACACATGCACATAAAATAGTAGGATCTGAGGGATATGCGAGTACGTAATGCCAAAAGCCAATTGTTCACATCTAAATGCACAAGAAACGTGTTTGTTCTGCTGCAGTATTGCGCTGGCAGAGATTCCTCCTACACTCCAAGAAGTCAAGCTGAAACAGCACAAGCTGGGGGGACTAGATCCCAAGGAATTATCGGAGCTGACGCGCAAGTGCCACTTGTTCGGCTCGATCGACCTCAGCGGCTGGAAAGGGGTCCGCCTCCTGTCTTTCCGTAGCTTATGCCTGGCCGTTGGGGGCTCTCTTCAGACGGTAAGCCTACCAAGCGGTGTCATTGGCTCATCGAGAATCATGGGCACCAGCATCATACTTTCCTCTAGTTCGTTGTTGTCCGATGTCCTTCGGATTCGGTTTTGTACACTGGATGTGTTTTCTGCGGACCATATAAACGATGTGGCTTGCTAGCTGGCTTGCTAGCTGGACATGCTCTTGCACCACAAGCTGTGTTGAGCGTTGTGCGGTATAATATTTGGTGAAGTCGTCCGACGTATGCTGCTCTCAACAATAATAACGGCGAACCTCATGGCAAAGTACGGCAGGTACAAGTATAGTTTCCCACATCATCTAGACACATTCGTCACTCACGTAGCGCTCGAGGATAGCTGCGACATGCAACCGACCGACGCATGTTTGTGCCCCTACTATCTGTGTTCGACACAGGTAGACCTCAGCAGAACAGAAACAACAAACGAAATGCTTGGGGTCTTCGCCGCCCGTCTGTTTTGCCTCCGGACCATCAACCTCACCTCGTGTCGCCAGGTGATATTCCTGGCGTTGCGGTCAAGTTGCCAGCACAGCTGAGGGTGGTACCGTACCTCGAATTGATTACGCAATTGCCAAAGACGTGCGTGAATGCTTCTGCGAAACGCTGGGCGCTCTCTACTGAGTTTTTCCTCGTTTTTCCTCGTCCAACATTCAACATTGCGTACGATGCATGCGTGCCTACAACGTTCGATACAGCGTGCGTGTGCCAAGCGTTACATTACATGGTATGAGCTTCCTTCCAATTCGCGATCTCGGCTAAGAAAGTTCCCGAACCTCATCTAGTCCTATCGGGCTTTGTTGCGCCAACTACAACCCGCAGTCGTATTGAACAGTGGCCCAATCGTGTTCGACATCTGTCGACCATGTTGCAGCTGAACAACCTCGGTGTCCGGGCGCTGGTGGAGTACTGCAAGAGTACGCTGACGAGCGTTGACCTCTCTGACTGTACAGGATTAAACGATGAGGTGGGGTTCAGCGATGCAGATATGTGAGGGTGCCATACAATCGATTTGTTGTGTGGAACTGCGGTTCTTAGGTATGCGAGAGCGGTGTCGCACGGCACTACTGTTGGTTCCACAAGTACTTCAAGCACTGCACAAATATGCAGTAGTGCATCACACCGCATTTACACTGCCTTCCTCCTCAACACCTCCAATTTCCTCTCTAGGCTGTCGCGTACCTTGGTGGTGCGATAGGATTTGGTTCGTGCTGCGCCTTGCTGCAATCACTTTCCCTGGCGGACTGCAAACGGATGTCTGACGTTTCTCTCCGAGTGCTGGCCAAAGGATGTCCGAGATTGCGCTTCCTCAACCTCTCCGGTTGTGACAAGGTACTGTGCTCCACAGGCACCCTATACTAGCAGGATCCTCATTGTCAGTGGGTTGACTGAGATTCTGGGTAACGAGAGGCGTTTCTCATGCGGCAATCCCAACGTGTACACCCGTCAAATATGCCAACTTTTCACAGGCTGTTGTTGAACGCAACCATTTAGGTCTAATAGGTCAGCCATTCGTGATAGTTGGCTTGACTAGACGTTGAGAATATCATGCTGCAAGAAATGCCTGGAGCTAGCGTGATGTAACGTTAGTTTCGAATAGGCGAGAAATCAGTGGTGCCCCGCGCTAACCTATTGTTGTGCATCTCCGTGCGACAGGTAACCACGAAAGGCGTACAATACATCGCCCGAGGCTGCCCCAACATGTCCGTGCTCAACCTGTACCACTGCGGAAAAGTCAAGGTTTGTTCTTTGTTGCTTCTCTATTCCCGTGTACATGTGCTATCGCCTGGTTTCTATTCAAAATTTATCACTGCAGAAAGTAGAGCACAATATGATTGTCACGTCCCGCGAAATAATTCGAGGCTGCAGTTGACGTTGACTGACCACGAGCAACGGTGCCAACAGTTTTAAGGCCCTGTTGTTCCTGCCTGACATATTGATGTGTCTTGCTTGGACGCCTCCGCAGAATGGAGCTCTCCTTGCCCTAAGCAAGCACTGCCCCCGGTTGGTGTCGCTCAATGTGGCGCTCATCGGTCGTGTGACCGATGCGGGTGTGTCTGCTCTAAGCCGGGGGTGCAGGTCTTTGCAGGCGCTCAACATTGCCGGAGCCAAGGAGGCAAGTGTCCTTCCTCTGAAAGAGTTGATGCCTGTGCTGGGTTGATGGTACGATTTGGAGCACCATGAGAAGCTGCGATGCATCTTTGGAGGACTAGGCAGTAAACTTTGGCTAGTTCTTGCGTTTGTGATATGAGCGGCTGGGCTCCCGCCGCAGACTGATCTCACCGTGGGGTACTTTCGTAGCGCTCTTCTCTGTCGGGCTACCTCTTCGCTTCTACGGAGTGCCCCCATGTTTGTGCTGCATCATGTCCATGCGCTCTGATCGCCACCACTGCCGTGGCTTTCTGAGGTTTGTCTTGCGCCGAACGAGGCAAAAAAAACTGCACGATATGACGCTCCCGATACTTTGCCGTATTCTGTGTCTGCAAGTCATGGATATGGTACACGATACAGCAAGCTGTTGGAATGAAGTGCACTCTCTCTCGAACAACCCACTGGACTCTACAGGTAACGGAGCGAGGCGTCTGTTGCCTAGCTCAGAACTGCCCGGGCCTCCATACGCTCAACATTACCGGCTGTGTAGAAGTTGGTCTCGCGGGGCTGCACGGCCTAATCGAAGGCGTCGGGCCGGCGCTGGTTCAGGAGGCAAAGACGTTCTTCGGCTTTATACCACAAAGGAGCATGATAGACCGCAGGGTGAGTCCATCGCCTTTCTCGAAACGGACCTTCAAGCAGTGAACCCCTTGACTAGGTATGGGCCTCGCCGTGGTGCGGGCTGCCACAAGTTAGAAGACGGGGTGTTTAAGTTCAAGTTCATCACGTTCGTAATATAGCACGATGGCGATATTTCGTTAACGCAGCGCACGCAGCACGCCATCTTCATCGTGGATATTCGTGGCAGCGTCGTGGTCCTTTCTGATGGACGGTCGTTTACCACCCACTTTGTTTTTTTCTGTTCCCGAGCGCTATCCATGCTCCCTGGCAGTCTATGGGCGGTGCTACCATTGTATGGCTCGTGCAGACACCATCCCTCTCCCGCTCCCAGCGAGACTCGAGGGGCAACGGCTTATTATCTGCAACAGCGACGACCGGAAACCCCTTGTCCGGTGTTTTCGTGACTTGCAGGTCCCCAGTTGTACCCCTCGCCAATCACCGGCGCAGCACTGACGTACACACCAATGATTGATACCTTCACGGCGTGCTGTGCGACCTCTGCGTATGTTTGCAACGGTAGGGGCTGCTCTACCCTAACCCCGACCTTTGTCTGACGACCTGTCGCTTTCGGTGTATTTTGACGAGACCTATGGAACAGAGAGCGCGAGCGGGCTTCAATGCGCACACACTACTTGCCCTTGCTTCGCGGCCAAGCCCCCAGAAACTAACGCCCGCTTCGGCCAATGTCTGCGTTTATCCATTGACGTCAGATAGAGGAATCGCACAAGGCTATCGAGCTCGCAGCGGTGCGCGCTATCCAGGTACCGTCAACGACAGACTAAAGCCTGAACGGACGCTCTATAATTTTTCCGTAGAGCGTGTGTTTCTGGCGCTCTTCCTTCTTCGTATTGATGGGTGTCTTCTTTTTCTCTATGAGGCAGGCGATCAACCCAGACTTCACGTGTTTTTCGGTTTTTCGCTGGTCGTGCGTATTTATTTCCGTTGGTGAAAGTCTTTTCTTCGCTTGTATCGTGACATACACAACATTCTGAAGATTTGCAAGTGTCTGTGTGAAGGCCTCACCAACATCGAGCCCTAATGGCGGCGACCCTGGTAGCCCTGGCGAAAGCGGAAACCGTCATCGTCTACTGCGTTGTGAACCCTCCTTGCAGAGGTGTTGGAGAAGATACAAAAAGCAGTTGGCGGACGCGCGGAGAGCCGCCTACGCCCAAGCCGACGCTGCGGTTTGCACTATCCAGGCGGCTTACTATCGCTATCACAAAAGGGTGAGCCCAAGATTTCTGACTGTTTTTGTGCTTGTTGTGTCCTTAGCTCTCGGGGGCACCCACCTGCTACAATTGTTACTCCGGACCCCCCCCACTCTTCAGCCACGTCAACTGTTCCACAGTTCGACTGGCTCGTGTCTTTTCTCGAACCGACTTCCTCCGCCGACGCTCCCATCAACGCTTGCAGTTGGTATGGTGGGAGACACGTCTGCTCAGGAAGCAAAACAAGGCGGCATTCGAGATACAGCGAGTGTATAGGGCACACAGGTGGGGTGTTCGTTGTGCTACGTAGCACGTTAGTCAAGTCAATAGTTTAGGAAAATGGTCCAATGCCCAACGGAAGCAGGCGGAGTACTGGGCTTTATCTATACCATGGAATAACACAAGAACAACTTGCTGCGGGCAATGGTACTCTAGCGGAACGATTTGCTGCGAGCGTCTCTGACGACCGAAATTCCCAACGCGGTTGGAGGACCTCCGAGACACCGACGAAGACTGAGTAGCAGGCGTTGGGGAACAGTCGCCGTTTTGGCAATCCAAAATCTTATAGTCTGTGGCCCCACAATCAAGTTTTTAGGACCAACGGGGCGACATGCGTTCGGTGGCCTACGAATACTGCTGAACGTCCGACAAACTACGGAAGAAATTTACCTCCAATGCAACGTCCGTCGAGCAGAGTTCGCCTACGGGTCAGCGTATTGCGGGAGGAAAAGCGCGCACTGCTGGCAAAAGGCAGCCGAGCCGTGCCTATCCAAGCCATTTTCCGAGGTTTCATGGCCAGGAGGGACGACAATCTGATAGGGGTATGTATGTGCAAATGTCTTCTGGACTGCTACGTTGCACTTACTAGGGGCGTACGGGTCAGGAGCGAGTCAGGCGGCGGTTGGAATAACCCTCGTGTGATGCCTGCGTCTAGTCTGTTCAATCGCCGTTTCGATCTCCTTATCTTTACTCACTTTCGGTCAACGGTGCCTCCACCTAGGGTACCCTTCGAAATACTTACTAATTTTCAAGCGCGACCACACCCGTTCGGGATTTTGTCCGTTAGTTGGATGCCATTCATGCGAGGAAAGGTATGGGTTGGTCGTTTGCCTTGACCTGTTTCGACGAGAGAAACATGAAAACTCGTTTTGTTCTCACCATGATGGTCAATACAACAGACTAACAAAAACTTTTGCCTCTCAAAACACCGCCTGTCGAACACGCAATCAACGCTGGCAGCCGGTCATCGAAGCGATGCTTGAAGATCGGAAGCAGGTGATTCCGTCAGAACAAGTCGCTGAACGTGGGCGTCTTACACCAGCAAAAATGAATTCTGTTTTTTTTCTTACCATTGCTAATGGTAGCATTGGCTTCCGTCAAGGCAGCCAAGCGACTGCACGCTTATTCAACCTCCGCGCCGTTGTATAGTTTTATCACGGCATGTTCGTGGCCCGGCCATGTGATCGTTAGAACCGAGGTGGACACCCTTTGGCGGCTCCGGGTCGAAGAGAATAAATAGTGCAACAAACACGTCTCTGCCCGTCCGAAGCGCCCGACCCTTCCACTGCACGACACCCTCGTCGAATAAATAGTCGCGTCGCATACCGAAATGTTCCCCTTTTTCAGGAGCTTCAACATGCAGCGGTTGTGCGAATACAAGCCACGGTGCGGGGGTGGATTGGCCTTAAACGGTGCGCGGCATGGGGGGAGGTGAAGCGACAGAGGATGCGAGATATTGAAATCAGCTCGGGCAAGATTCAGGCGAGTTGACAATGAAGTATCTCGGTCGAAACGCCTGACTATGTGAACCCAAAAAAGGCAAGACTGTGCCAAGTGCGATGTGATCAACTTGTGCATCCATAGGGTATTTAAGCCCTTTTCAATTCTGGGTCATAGGCCGACCGACTGGTGGTCAAACGTGGAGGCAAGCTTAGAGGGGGGCTTGGCAATATTATTTCCCCATGGCGAAACGACCCACCAATCGATTTGTCGACCATCCTGGAACGCCTGACATGTTCGGGGATTCGACGTAAGACCCATTCGTCCTAATCGGGGAGTCTTTTTATGGGGAGATTAAACACTTTGTTTAGATTCGTGGATTCCCACTTCCGTTGACGCGTGTACAGGTAACCCAAGGCTGACTGGGATCAATGTGTGAACGCCACAAATTCAGCTGCGCGGGCAGGCAAACAGGCAACATCTGGGTGGTCGACTTTATAGACAAGCTACAACAGCTCGTTTGTAACCTTTGCCGCACGGGGGTCGCGTTCTCCTTTCCCCTACCCTCTTCCGCTCTCGCCTATCAGGGCAGTGCGCGTTGTTTCCTCGCGCGAATCTGGCTGAGTAAGCTGAAAATGCAAAAAGAGACGCAAAAAGAGATCGAGCGAAGAGCCGCTGTTCAACTCCAGGTAAGAGTTTGTGCCACAGGAGATGACTCGTCGGTGGCCCGTCTCCAACGACACAGTGCACGAGGCATTGCTCACGAAAGGACATTCTTCTGCTCAAGAGGTCCAGCATGTTTTGCCATGCGTTAGGTTGTTTGTCTACCTACTCGGTAGCTCCCCCAATCCCCCCACCCCTCCATTTCGTGGATGCCGTGTAGTTTTCCTACTCGTTCTTCGTCCTCTACGGCGGTTTAATGTGTCCGGCAGTCGTTCTGGAGGGGTTGCATTGGCAAGCATATGGGTGCCCAGGTTAAGAGCCAGATGGCGAGAGTCAAGCGAGCAAGGCACCGCACCGGTGGGTTCAGACACTTTTGCTATTCGTTCTTGTGGCCCTGCGTGTGCGGGCAGGACCGAAGTATAATGAGCAATGCCGGTGGCATCCGAAGCACCGTAGAAGGAGCGCTTTAGGCATTCTTGATGCGGCTAGATACGGGTACCCGATGAAATTCGGTGGAATCGTTCGTCAGCACACATAACCTGTGTCCAACAGTGTCGGGTATGTATGTATGTCGCCCCCCGTTGGTGGGAAGTTGCTCGTGACACTCGTTCTCCGTTCGCGTCGGGAACAAATAATGAACGCTCGATAAAATCAAAACTCAAACACCAAACACAGCAATCAAGCTTCAGGCGGCGTTCAGGGGGCACCGTGGGCGAGGAGAGTGGAGAAGAGTGCACCAAGAGTGGAAGAAGAATAGCAGGGCGGCTCGAAAGATCCAGAAGGTGATCGAAAAGCAGGAGCCCCGGCAAAACGGCAGCGTTTTACGTACACTTCCACGCCACGCGTGATTGTTCTTTACTTCACCTATTCACGCATCCTTTGCGCTGAGCCTCCCTCCCACCTCCCACCTCTCCGTATCACTCGCGTGTCTTATGCGCAGGTGTTTAGAGGCAGTCGCGTGATGAGTTGGCGAGATGTTCGTCTGAACAAGGTGGCGCAGCACGTGTTTATGAGGCAAGAGATGGAGTTCCAGGAGAGGTTGGACGGCGGTCGTGCTCGCTACCAGCATCTCGTTGACGAGGCCGGCAGGTATTGCGTGTTTTCTGTTTCACAAGTGTAGAGATGTGGTTGGTGTAATGGTATACTCTGTGTGGAAGACGAGGGTGGGTTCTGTGTGGGTGTGTACGTTGAGATTTGATGTGTACAGATGAACCATGGCAGCAGCACCACAGCCTAAGGCAACTTGTGAGGATATGAGGCACATTTTCTCTTGGATGTCTCACCCCAGAGCGCGTGTTATATCTGCTGCGGAGATAGCTGACTGCCGCAGTTCCCAATGTGCAGTTCTATAAAGATCGAGAGTGACAAGACTTGCCGAGCCTCGGATGTCGGTCAACGATGAACACTTCGGTTGAGCACTTGGAAGTCCCCATGTTTTATTGGTGAACCTGCCCGTCCTTATACACCTCGGATGGACTCCATGGTTGCAGGGACTCATGCAGCGAGGATGACGACGAAGCAGATGCCACCGACCACTGGGAGGAGGTAGGGAAACCCTGGCATGCACAGGATTTACATTGTGGCAACGATTTGAATATTGCCTCAACGCCGTCGATGGGAGAGAGAAAGCTGCGCTCTACGAAAACATGGTCACACGTGGACGTCTAACCTCGCGTCACTAGTTCGTCTCCCCCCCCACACTATCAGGGGCCCCCGTGCCGAACCTATCCCTATTGACACTCTCACCTGTTATTCGTTCGTCACCGTGCAAACACCCTCGATTTGATAACGATGCTGGTCATTTGTGTGCGTCCTTGGTTTCCTTCAAGCTACACTGCTGCGTGAGACACATTTGTCTGGGGTTTGTTCCTGTGCTTTCTTTTCTCCCTTCCTGCCGTACTGTCATACGATCGTACCCATCGACCACTTGACCTTGCCCACCATTGTTCGTTAGATCTGGGACGAGGGCGCGGACCATAGTTATTGGTGGAACGCTGCGTTACGGGAGTCGTCGCCCGTGAAGCCCTTGGCCTTCGAGGAAGGTCTCGTGGGAATGCGAGTATGGCTGACTCGTCCGACGTCCGCAGGCCTGGCGGGGGAGGGTCAACTCACACGGTGAGAGTTGTCGTCACCGCACGGCGAATGCTAGGTAGAAATGTGTCATCAGCTGCGCGGTGCCTACCGGTGTCCATTCAGTCAGGTCGATCACTGACCAAAGAACTAATATTTGCGTTCTTCAGGCCAGAAAAGGTACAAACACGAACAAAACAACACATAGTATAATGTGTTCTTGCCATGTGTGAATTGCAGTTCGGTTCCGTCTGCTTATCCGCTCCGTGTTTTGAATGGATGGGCAAAACAGGCTCAACCGCAAGAGGGTCAAACACCGCCTAGAATTCGACAGTGGGGGGCGGAAATGGATCAACCTCGACGACGAGCAAGTGAGAGTAACATTCTCCTCACGTAAACCAGGGGGGTGAAAGAGATGAGTCATGATGTTTTGGGGGGCGAATTGCGGGGCGCAGGTTGTCCTTCGAGGTACGTTTGAAGTACCTTATTAGTACTTGAAGTTTTAACGAAGGGATTGGGGGACCTCACGAAAAATATGCCCCCGTCAATATGTGAGATGGAAGCGCCATGCAAATCCCTGTGCCCCCCTGTACACAATATACCTCCTGTGCAAGGACGTCATGATGGTGCGGAGCAACGGGGCATGGGTGCAGCTGAGAAATTTCATCGAGCCTGCCGTCGCCAAGGCCCGAGCGAGAAAAGAGATGCTAAGCAGGAGGCGAAGAGCCAACCAGCACCTATTCGACAGGGAGCAAAGGCACGAGCGAACCTGAAAGCTATAGCACAGATAGGTATTGTGTCGTTCGTGACTACCACCTCATCGTTCACGGTCAGAAACTTCTTCGTCGTGCCTTGGTGAGCACACTCACTCCGCCATAGATTCTCCGATTTTGTGGATGCTGCTGTTGCCATCTCACAGAGACGAAAATCGTCAAGGAGAGAGAGAGAGAGAGAGAGAGAGAGAGAGAGAGAGAGAGAGAGAGAGAGAGA